GTTGGACCTGAGGTCTCTGTTCCCAAAGGTCATGCTGGCTGTGGTCCAGCTACGCAGGACTGCATGTTAGGGATAGGAGACCGCCCAGCCCACTGCGCTGTAGTGGAGCCTGGTTGACCTGCAGGTTCCCTAATTGCCCGTAACTTCCTCTGTTCTCTCTCCCTAGGCAGTTTCATTCTTTCCCATGGTTTTCATCGCCAACTCTATTCTAATTGACAGCTCCAGCTGAGATTTCTTTTCTAAGGTCAGACTTGGATATACAGTTGGCAACTTGTCATTTCCATTCAGATATTCTAGAAGTTCCCCAGACATGTTTCATACTGAATTAATCATCATCTCCACCCTTCATCTTCGTACCAACTCTTAGTCTTCTATGTGTTGGCTTCTGTAAGAGTGCCTTTTACCATTGCTGAGAAAAGACTTGAGATCTACCTCTGCTTCTCCTCTATTCCTCATATTGCCAATGCGTACATTCCAGTGGTTGTTTAAATTTTAAAATAATAATAATAGTAACTTATCAGGGCCGGCGCAATAGCCTAGTAGCTAATACCCCCGTCTTGCACATTCTGGGATCCCCTATGGGCACTGATTCATGTCCTGGCCTTGCTTCCCATTCAGCTTCCTGCTTGTGACCTGGAAAAGCAGTTGAGCATGGCTCAAAGATTTGGGACCCTGCACCCATGTGAGAAACCTGGAAGAAGCTCCTGGCTCCTAGCTTTGGATCAGTTCAGCTCCTGCTGCTGTGGCCACTTGGGGAGTGAATCAAAGGACAGATGATCTCTCTTTCTTCCTTTCTGTTTATCTGACTTTCCAATAAAAATAAATAAAATTAAAAACAACTTATCTGAGGGGCCACCATCAGGGCGTTGTTTTAAGTCACTGCCTGTGATACCAGGACTCTATATAGGCACAGGTGCAAGTTCTGCGTGCTTTACTTCCAGTCCGGTTCCTCACCGCTGTGCTGGGGAAGCAGTGGATTGTAGCCCAAGTAATTGAGACTCTGGCTTCAGCCTGGCCCAATCCTGAGCCTTGTAGTCATTTGCAGAGTAAACTAGTAGGTAAAAGAGCTCTCGGTCTCTTTCCCACTCTCTCTGCTACTCTGCCTTTGCAATAGATCAATACATTTTAAAAAGTTGTTTTACAGGTGGGTGAAGGGAGGCAGACAGAGAGAGAGACAGAGAAAGGGAGTGAGAGAGAAACATTTCCAAGTGCTATACACTCCCTGAGGGCCTGCAACAGCCAAGATTGGGCTGTGTTGATCATGAGCCAGCAATACAATCCAGTTTTCCTCTGAGGGGGGAGGGGGGGGACAGGAACTCCCATATTGTCACCTTGGTTAAAATTGTCATGTGGTTTTCTGTTGCCTTTAAAATCATTCTGCAACTCTTTTGTGATATACAAAGTTCATCACATGGTTTCTTTTAGCTGTTTCTTGAGGCTCATGTTTCCCAGTTTCTGACATGCACCTTATACTCAGGCCATACTAACCTACCCACCTTTGTCCCTGACAATCCTGTATCTGTGTTAATGGACATATATGGATTAGTCTTCAGAGTTCATCTCTAGTTTCTTGTCTTGGAATACTTTTTGTCTGACCTGCTGAGGTGATCTGTGGGCTTCCCTCTGTGTGTTTTTCTAGCAAACTGTGCCACTCTGTCTCCCTTCTACAATGGATTTTCAGAGTGTAAAATGTGTTTTAATCAGATATCTATCACCTCAGCAGCCAATGCTCATTAATATTCAAAATTTCACATCCAGGTAAAAGTCAATAATGTGACACTTTATTTTCTGAAGTTTTAAAGAAGTGGGCAACTCTGAGTAATCTAAAATCCAATTTAAATTTCATTTGAATTCAATATAGCCTTTATTATGCAGTGTGAATTTCAAAGTCACTTCTTCCCTGATGTTGTTGCTTTATTTTGCCCTCTCTGAGAGCTTGATTTCATTTACAGAACTTAGAACATGCTCTATAACATGTATAAACCAAGGCTACTTTGCAGTATTTCAGATTACAAAACTAGTATTTAGTGTTTTAGGTTTTACTTTTTTTGTCATGATAGATAAAATCAAATAATGTATCTTCTAGTTTTATTCTTAATTTATTCATTTTAAGAAAAATATTATTTCCATTAGTTATAAATTACATAAATATTTTAATATTCTGTTATGTTTACAAATAAATTATATAAATATGACTCATGTAGTTTACAGTCTATTAAAGGTTTTTTTTTTTTTAAAGATTTATTTTTATTATTTTTTCATTGGAAAGGCGGATATACAGAGAGGAAGATCTTCCGTCCGATGATTCACTCCCCAAGTGAGCGCAACGGGCCGATACTATGCCGATCCGAAGCCAGGAGCCTCTTCCTGGTCTCCCACGCGGGTGCAGGGTCCCAAAGCCTTGGGCCGTCCTTGACTGCTTTCCCAGGCCACAGGCAGGGAGCTGGAAGGGAAGCGGGGCTGCCGGGATTAGAACCGGCGCCCATATGGGATCCCGGGCGTGCAAGGCGAGGACCTTTAACCACATGCGCCACCGCGCCGGGCCATAAAGGTTTTTTTTTTTTAAAGATTTATTTATTTTTACTACCAAGACAGATATACAGAGAGGAGGAGATACAGAGAGGAAGACCTTCTCTCCAATGATTCACTCCCCAAGTGAGCAACGGCCGGTACTGCACCAATCTGAAGCTGGGGCCCAGAAATCTCTTCCAGGTCTCCCACACGGGTGCAGGGTCCCAAGGCTTTGGGCCATCCTCGACTGCTTTCCCAGGCCACAAGCAGGGAGCTGGATGGGAAGTGGAGCTGCTGGGATTAGAACCGGCGCCCATGTGAGATCCTGGTGCGTTCAAGGCGAGGACTTTAGGCGCTAGGCCATGGCACTGGGCCCAAGTCTATTAAAGGTTGAACAAGATGACTATTAACTGCAATTTACAAAAATGAAAACTTTGTAAGTGTCTGGAATATAGGATTCTTAAGCTTCATTCTGCCCAGGTCTTTGTTCATTCGCTTTATTTCATATATTTAATAGCATTTTTATTGAGTATTATATTGTGTTAATCACTTTGCTAAGTATGAGGAAAACAAACTCAGATCCATTGATAAGAGTAGTGGAGACGGCCATATTGAAAGAATTAGGGAAATAAATTTAAATTGTAATTCTGATCCTTCTAGCCAAAGTTGGCTATGTATGTATAGGTGTGTGGTAGCAGCATTCAATTCCTTGGTGAAAGATCACAGAAGGCAGTGACTTGAAGCAAGAGTGGGTGTAGTTATATTAGGGAAAGTGTTCAGAGCCCAGGCTCTGTGGCAGGCACTGGCCATGTGTCAGGAGAAAGCACAGTTACTGTGTTGAACTAGGAGCAGGCTGGGTGATGAGATCAGAAAAAAGGAATGAACAGGAGGAATCCTGAGACGGAAGGGATCTGGAGAGCAAGATCAGGAAGTGAAGGCCTGGCTCTGGTGGCTCTTGTTAGGGACCTTATCTCAACAGCACTATGTTTATCTTAAGAACTATTGAAGTATAGGAAGACCCAGATTGTATTTGCATTTCAAAGCCAGCCTCTGGTTTTAGAGAAGTGAAACCTGTTAGGGAATTTTCCTAAATGTGGTAGGAGGAGACTCATGGGAATGAGAAAGTGGATTTGGGAAATTGGGGGGCAATATTAGAAAACAGAAGAGGAGGTACTTGGGAAAACTGATTTGTTCTTTTAAAAAAAATTGTTTCATTTTTAGTTGAAAGGCAGAGTTATTGCAAGGAGAGACACTGGGAGATGCCTTTCGTCTGCTGGTTCACTTTCCAGATGCCCACAATGGGCAGAGCTGAGCTCAATCTGAATCCAGGAGCCTGGAGCCTGGGGCTTGCTCGATGCTTCCCACTGGGGTGTAGGGCCATCCTCCTCTGCTTTCCCCGGCTATAAGCAGGGAGCTGGATGGAAAGTGCAGCGTCTGATACAGAACAGTGATGATCTTAGGGGATGCTGGTGCTCCTAGCTTGAGATGTTCTACTTCCGCACAGCACCAGTCTAGAAAGACTGATTTATATTCATGTCTTCTTCATTGCCTTGGGAGCATTATGTCCAAGCAAGGTTTAGGGGTAAAGTAAGTCACACCTTGGGCTTTTAAATTTTGAGAATTCTTTGAGAAATTTGTGCATTGATCCTATACTTAGCAGTGATAAGACAGGAATATTTAAAAATGTGAGACATCCTTATTTTGATGTTATATTCTTTGTAAAAGATAAGGAGCAGACACAGGAAATATTTAAATAACATACTCAAGGCCGGATTTATTAGGTAATGCAGAAGGTATGAAATGCAACTCCACCCAATATCCTTTTCTGTTCAATGTCACAATTAATTATCTAAGCTCAATTATTGAGCGGTTTGTATTTGAAGTCTAGTAAGATTTAATTGCTGGTAACCAATTATGAAATTCATTGATTAGTAAAAATTCTGGGAGAGGTACTTGTGTAAAAGATTACCTATGAAGACATACATTTGTATGTGCAGGATAAGATATACACCCTATAAAGAAAATTGTGTTATATACTTGGATATACATATTCACTACTATAACATATGTTTGATGAAAGTGTTGAATTTTATTACTTAAAAAGGAGATGAAGAAGCCATAGCATTATTTGGGATACTCTGGAAGCTGTTCCCTGATTCACTCATGCATTCCTCTGAAGAAACAGACACCAGACATGGTGTAAACAGACGGTTGAATGGGTTCTGAAAGGATTTGTGGAACATTTATGAAAGGGGACAGGATTTGTGCAGACTTTGAGCAAGAAAACTTTTTAAGTGGGAGTTCAAAAGGACGGAGAAATCGCATGCTAGAATGAATGTGGATAGGAGAATGATCAGTCCGCAAAATACAGTAGAAATAAGGAGGCTGGTGTTGCACAGTGTTTGAGTAGCAGTGTGAAAGCCTGTGCTCTCTAAGACTTTATACGGTTTTTCAAGTGGTAGATGAAGACCTGTCAATTCTTCCTGCAGGCTCCCGTCTTCGCCAGGAAGATTTTCCACCTCGCATTGTTGAACACCCTTCAGACCTAATCGTCTCAAAAGGAGAACCTGCAACTTTGAACTGTAAAGCTGAAGGCCGCCCCACCCCCACCATTGAATGGTACAAAGGAGGGGAGAGAGTGGAGACGGATAAGGATGACCCTCGTTCACACCGAATGTTGCTGCCCAGTGGATCTTTATTTTTCTTACGCATAGTACATGGACGGAAAAGTAGACCTGATGAAGGTGTCTACGTTTGTGTAGCAAGGAATTACCTTGGAGAAGCTGTGAGTCACAATGCATCGCTGGAGGTAGCTTGTAAGTAGAATGGGCTTCCTGTTTGCTGGGGGAGAGGTGAAGTGGGCTCATTTGTCGTGACAGGGCTGGTAAGATAGTAAACTTGCTTCACAGTCTGTTCCTGAGGTCAGTCAGTAGCTTCGCATATGGGTAAAATCTGCTACTTGATTTTCTCTATCTGGTTCTTCAAGCTTTATTGGGATTTAAGCATAGTGTTGAATCATTTAATTTTAATTGGGAACCGTTTTTCTGTTGGCATATTTTCCATAAGATAGTTTTTTTTCCCCCTATGTTGTTGCTCTTAAGTATATTCTATATACAGCTTCTTCTGTAAATATAATAGTGTGGGGTATTTTAAATTTATCTTCATTAAGAGAAATGTTTTCAGAAGTACAGTATATTTTGGACTGCTTCTGTTTCTCATAAATACACTGTACTTCTGTTACAGCTGTATCAGGAAAGTGTAGGTATATACTTCATAATTTATTATGTTAGCTACTGTGATGCGCCCTAGGAGGAAAGCAGGTGTATGTCATCTTCACGTCGTTGGCGTTTGACTTTACTTATTTAAAAGAGCAAATGTAGCTCATTTGAAATGATTTCAGTGAGGATCTGTTCACTAATGATAAAATTGTTATATCTAGAGTCTTGGAGTATGTTGTGTTTGAATAAAAATTGATTTTTTTCTTGTTTTCTATCCACATTCGAGCAGTAGCAAAAAAGTACAGTTTTGTGGAAATAATCCTGCTGTATGTATGTAAGGATAGAAATGTGAGAATTTTGTAAGCATTGGAAACATAAATGAAATTTAGATATAATTCATTTTAGCTATATATTATAAATAATGCTATATATTATTATGTGTGTATTTTGTATAATGATTTCCCCAGATGATTGATATTTTAATGTGATTTCTGCTCACAATTTTAATTATACAATCCACTTCGTCATATTCTACATTCTGGTGCAATATGTAAACAGAATTTGAATATATAAAGCCATAGAGTTATTAAATTATATTTGCAGGAAGATATTTAGTTGTAATTAGGTCAGCTCAATCATATTATTACTATAGACACAGTACCAGAGACTTTAAATGATTTAATCACTTTCACACAAGCTATGTAATGTTTGAGATGGAATGCTAAATGTGTTTGATATGAATGTAAACTATTAGGTACAACAAAAATTATGCAATCAACTTAAAGTAGATCAAAGCTAAGCACTTACATTTAAGAGGATCTTCTCAGAATCCTGGTTTAAATTTTCTTATTGATGATGATTTTATTGTCTTCATTTTAGCACAGTGACTTTCACTGAACTCCTTAGATGTATATAAATGCAGTGTATGGAAGCTCCAATCATGGTAGAAGGCTCTGCCCAGCTTTAAATACAATTGAAGACAAAGAAGTTTAAATACTTATTCTTTTTTATTTTATCCAGCCATCTCATGATTATGTTAGCATCTTTATAACTTTTGATAAATTTATATTTAAGAATTGGTAATCCTTGTGGGAAAAAACTTAAGTTAGGATTTGAATACAAATTGAGAAAATTAAGAAAATTGATATCGGTTACCTAGGCCAGCTCCTAGTTTTGGAAGATAAGAAGTTGAAGACTGATCAAAATTGGGTGATTGTTGCTAGGATTATAATTTCTTAAAATGAAGTATATACAAAGGAAATACGAAGCACCATCTTTTGTTTTGTTTCCTAATCACATCCTTACTGTTAGAATCAAAACAAAGCAAAACCAATTTTAGACGTGAAGTTTTAAATGTTTCTCTTTCAGCTCCTATGAAAACACCTCTAGTTTTACCACAGAAGAGCATAATGCTCTTAGTGTACTGGAAATTAGAGAGTTGTCTTCTCTAATCTGGCTTTTTGTAGATGTTTTATAGACATTAGACGTTTTTACTTAAGTTCTCTAAGGTAGATAGATATTCTATTACCTTGAAAGGCTGTCAAGCAAAAGATCTTTTCCAATCTTAGTCAAGAAGTGTCCAATCGTGGACTTAAACCAAATGCAATGTCATTTCTCCTGATGGAATATTTAATTCCTGTGCCCTTTAATACATAACTTTATGTCTCCAGGTGGTTTTGAGCTCCAGATGAAAATGTATAATATAATTCATTGAAACATAGTTAATGCAAGTCTTGTTAAAAAATTAATTGCGTGCATTTCAGTTAGTCATTTTTATATATTTGCACATCAGACATAATTTTAAAGATGTTGATGTCCTAAAATTAAAATTAGCTTTTTGTACACTATCCATACAAACAAGTTTGAGATAAGGGGAAGAGTGGACAGGTTTATTAGTTAAAGGTACTGTGAGAGGTTGTAGTCCAGTTTTTCTGCAGAATATTATTCCTTTTTAAAAGTACTATTCCTTTTGTAAAAAATATTTCCTTGTTTGGGTATCAAATATTTAATAAGAACTATTCTCCCCCGGATGCAGTTACAGGAAGACAAAGATTGCATCTGATTTTTTAGTGAACCTATACCCCGAAGTAATAGCATTTATAAAAGTGTCTTGAGGCAAGGCAAGTCTCACAGGCCAATTGTTGGTAATTCTTTTGAAAACACTTATGTGTGTTTTATTTGCCTCTAACCCAAGTTTTACAGCTGTAACAACAACTGGGTTTCTTGGTTTCCAGAGGTTGCAGTCTTTCCAACAGAAAAAAAACTATCTATATTGAATGCCAGCTAAAAACCTTTCTTTCTTATAGGAGTAGTAATTTTATTGCTTTTTACCTTTTAATGTTTAAGTTTGAGTAATGTAAGGAAAGGATTGTGTTTATTGGTAAGGATACTTTTAGTTTCATTTATATCCTCGTTAATAGCAGCATAGATAATAGTGCAGAATATTGGCACTGATGCATGGTGTGTGTTAAAAACTCTGTGTGAAAACTCTGTTTAATGCAGTGAAACTAAGCTCCCACTGCTAGAAACAGCCTAACATTAAATAATAAGAAATAGTCATCCTTACTTCTAAAGTTTTCAGTGAGATTGTTGCAAGTTCGATTTTTATAGGAAACAGAATTATAAGTAACTGATGTGTTTTTCAAAAATTTAGTTTTCTGTACGAACAAAGCGTAACATATCTTGATATGGACATAAAACTATATAATGTAGAATACATTGTTGTTTCTGAAAAAAAAATCACTGTTTTCTTTTAATTTCAAAGCCAAGTTTCAGAAGTGATCTTGCTGGCATCTTTTTTTTTTTTTTAATTTTGGATTACTTCTGTTTAAGAGTCTATAAAATGTCTAAGAAAATATTTTATTGGTTTGTTCTGCACTTCACAATACTGCTTGTTAAATTTCAAATTCCACAATATGCCTGGCATGGCTTGAAGGTACAGACTCTGTTACAACTTGCATTTTGTAAGTAAATTAATAATGAAGAATTACATTGAATTTTAAAGAAACTTAGCTTGAACATTGACCTTCATGCTTTCTGTTGTAGAACATGCCTCCCCACACCATCTGCTGAGCACTGTGCTGCATGTGGCTAGCAGTTTCCTGTGTAAACTGTGTTCTTTTGAGGAAGAAAAATTTATTTCAGACAATGCAAGTGTTTACTAGCTGTGCTGGCATGAGACCATAAAAGAAAACTTTTTCTGAAAAATGATGTTGTTAATCAAGGAATAAATATTTCTAGATGTTATTGGAAGAGATGATTTTATTTATTTGTGAGAGTTAGAGGGGTAGAAATAGCAGAAGAGACAGAGAGAGGAAAGAGGGAAAATGAGAGAGATCTGTCTTCCATCTGTTGGCTCACTCCCCAGATGGCTGGAATGGCCAGAGTTGAGCCAGGGCAAAGGAGTTTCTTCTGGGTCATCAGTGTGGGTGACAGGGTCTTAGTGCTTGAGCCTCCTGCTACATCATCTACTGTTTTGCCAGGCCATCATCAAGGAACTGGATTAGAGATGGAGTACTGACATGGAATGCTGTATCACAGGCAGTGGCTTTACCTACTGTACCAAAATGCTGACTACAGTTAAATCCTTTTTCTTTTTTTTTTAATAATTTAACAGATTTGCATATTTTTATATGAAAGACAGATTTTACACAGAGAGGAGAAACAGAAAGGTCTTATGTTCAATAGTTCGCTCCCAAATATCTGCAACCATCAGGTCCTAGCTGATTCAATCCTGGAAGCCAGGAGCTTCTTGCTAGTCTCTCACATAGGTACAGGGTCCAAGGACTTGGACCATCCTTAACTGCTTTCCTAAGCTGTAAGTGGAGAGCTGGATTAGAAGTGGAGCAACTGAGAGTTGAAATGGCACCCATGTAGGATGCCTGCACTAGCTTGGTAAGCCAGGGCAACAGCCTCAGATTGTTTTCTTAAAAAAAAAAGAGCTATTTATTTATCCAAAGGCACAGAGAAAGAGGGGGAAGTTCCCTAGCCAGCTGGCTTACCCTTCAAATACCTGCACCACCTGGGCTAGGCTGGACAGAACCAAGGACTCTGATATGTATTCTGGGTCTCCTGTGTGGGTGATAGGTCCTCACCTGCACCTCCAGTTTGTGCCTTCATAGGGAGCTGTATCAGAATCAGAGGAGCTAGAATTTTAACTAGGCATTTTTACATGAGATGCAAGTGTCCAAGCAGAGTCCTGACTGTTGCACCAAACTTCACCCCTCTATGCTCTCTTGATTTAAATAGACTATTGTTGTTTTCCTCATTTCCCTTCATTATAAATTCATCCTTTAAAATTTTCTAGAACAACCTTAGAGTCAGAACACATTATCTATTTTGTTTTCTTCTAATAATATGGTAAAGATTGTGACTAATAAGCCGGTAGAGATCATATTATAGAATTTACTGAGTTTATATTTATTTTATCTTCAGAAGTAATGGAGGTTCAATGTGGAAGACTTTAAAATATACATGCTGTTGCTAATACCAGGACACAGGAATATCCAACCCTGAAATTTTGTGATTAACCTTATAGCATTTTTCCGTACATGTAATATGCAGAATGATCCTAGATATTAACTGTTTAATTTCATTCA